TAACCTTTTCATTTGCACGTGGCTTAATTTAATCAATTAAACAGTATGGCTTGGGGAGGCAAGCCCTAGATCCAGGCATTAGCAAACCTGTTTTGCTCACCTTCTCAGCCTAGCACATGCCACAAGGCCTAACACATAGGAAACAATCATGCCACATTTGTTAAAACAGATGTGTCTGTGTTTCTTTTTGAATTTCCCTCAGAACTAGTACAACATTCTACTAATACGAGGCACCCAGAAAAGGAATACTATAATAGTATACAATTGATTTCTCTTAGAAAATTTGCAACTTTTCTCTCTCTCTGCCTCTCTAAGAATATAGTCTCAATTTTTCTATTTTCCTAAATATAAAGTAAGTGTGTTCAAGGCAGAAAACTTGGTAAAAAAAAAATCCAAAATATGATCACTGTTATTCTGTGACAGAAGTTTTTCAGGTTTTTCCTATGCCTGCCATGTACATATTTGTAGTTTTCTAAAAAGTCAAATAGATGTACACTATAGATATATAGGTCAGCAGTCTGTCTTTTTCATTTAGAAATATATTATAAACCTTTCCCTGTGTTGAGCAGTATTTTTTCAGCACATGATTTTTTTTAAGATTACATAGTGCTCCTCTGCATGAATATTTATACTTCATTTCATTGATCCCCTCTTGTTTGACTAGCACATGTGGCTATTTTTCAAACTCTTCACTATTATAAATAAAGTGAAGACCTTCCCTTTAGCTTCAATATACAATATTTTGAATATTGCATATCTTCAGTATATAATATCTCCATCACCTCCTTGTGAATTATTCCTAGAAAGAGCTATAAAATATAAAGGGTTCTTGCATTGTGATGTTTTCAAATAAAACCAATAATAAAATTGGGTAAAGGACGGTATGTCTAGGCAATTCACAGAGAAAAAAATCCAAATGTCTAATTAGGATGTTCAATATACAGTAGTCAGTGTGATGACAGGGAAAAGGCAGAGAGATCTAGTTCCATATATTTGAGAGCAATGAGCATCCAAAAACAGCACAGCACAGGCGGGTGATAAAGACAAGTGGCTGGGCTCCAATCACAGCTCCATCCTTAGCAGCTCCCTGACTTTGGGAAGTTTACTTAACTCTAAGCCTCAATGTTTCCAACTGAAAAAGAGGACAATAATAAGACATATCTCATACGGTAGGGCTACTGTGGGGCTTACCTATTACGGCCAGTGTGAAACACTGTGCATAGCACTGTGTCTGGAACATGAGAGTGCAATACTGTTACTTATTCTTCTATTTGTTTCTAAACCTACACCCGCAGAATTACATGCTGTGATGATAAAACCAATAACCTTTATTACATGCTTAGTTCTCCAAAAGAAAACCATCATAAAAAATAGTGATTTTTACAAAACAATAATAAAATGTAGATAACCTTATATGAAGTATAATAACTTTATCAAAAGCAATAAAAAAGCAACACAGATGTTACTTCTCATCTATAACACTGCCAAATATTAAAGAGTGATAATTCCAGGACTAGTGGGAACAGGGGTAGGACAGAAAATTCTTATATATCAGTGATAGAATTGTGACCATTTCAGACCAGTGTTACCCAACAGAACTTTCTGCAGTAATGGAAATGTCCTTTGATCTGCTGTCCAATATAGTAGCCACTGGTCATATGTGGCTACTGAGTATTTGAAATGTAGCTAATGTGACTGAGGAACTGAATATTTAATTTTATTTCATCTTAATTAATTTAAACTTAAATAGCCACAAGTGCTAGTGACTACTGTATTGGGTAGCATGGTTCTAAAAGGCAATCTAAGAATGTCTAGGTGATTTTAAAATACATACTTTGCCCCATTTTTGGTAATCTATTCCATAGCAATTAAAGTACTATGGGATGGGGGTGAGAGGAAAATAAGCCAAAATAAGAAATATTTAATTCAAAAATAATTTTTAATTTAAATATATGTTTTTAAAGGTATTCCCAGTCATAAAGAGAATATATTATTCCATTTATTTAATAGTGTGAAATATCAAAAAATAAATTTTTTAAAAACCCACCACAGAGTTTTAACATAAGAAAAAAGTATATATACCTGTTTACATATGGGCAGAGAGGTATGGGGAAGAATGTTTCTGAAGCGTTTAAAACATTATCTCTGATGGCAGATTTTTAGGTAATTATTATTTAATTTGTTAAATCCCTTTTACAGTTTGAATTCCTTATGACTACAAACTATTTATATAATCAGAAAAAGAAAACATTATAATGTTTTCATTGGGGAAAAAAAACATAAAGGCATTCCTGGATCAAAGGATAAAGTCAGTTTTAAGGCTTTTTCATATGAACCACCCTCTGGAAAGGTTGCCCCAATTTCAGCAACCAACTAGCTAATTCCTCACATACACACCCTTACCAACAACAAGCATTACAAATTTTTTTCACCTTTGCCGACTTAGGTGAAAAGTTGTATCTCTTTTTAATTTGAACTTAGTTTATTACTAGTGAAATTGCACATTTGTTTACTTGCTAGCTATTTGTATTTCCTTTTGAAATGGCATGTTCCTATCCTTTGACTTTTTTTTAACATTAGGACATACATCTTTTCTTATTCATTTGTAAAGTTTCTTTATATATTAACGTTATCAAACCTGTCCTTCTATATATGTTGCAAATATTTTCCCCTCTTTGTCATATGCTGTGTTACCTTGTATCTTATCTTTTTAATATGTAGACTTTTTCAATATTCATATAACAAAATCTATCCATTTTCCTTTATGTCTTCTGCCTTTGCTAGTAAATTTTAAGGAGTCCATCTCCATTCCAATTCCTCCAGGCCTTCTCCCAGCGAATGCTAACATCAGGGCCAAACACTCCAATTATTTGAATTGGCCATATAAATGCATTAACTCTGTACAAATGCTAGAAGGATGCTAGTATCCTCCCTATTACAGGTATACTGGACATTTCACTTTCAGATTCCTCAGTATACATTCATCAGAGATTAACGTGCTGCCTCCAGATCTGGCACTAGCTATGCTTCTGGTCTAATCGTAAACTCTACTCAGAAGTACATAATACACTTTCAATTACCTCAACAGTTCTTTGAAGTAATTTAAGATCTGAAGTTTCTTTATGGCAAGGGAATGATTGGACAAAGCCCAAGACTTATGACAAGCACTTTTTCCCCTTTGTTTAAGGCCTGGAAGAAGCATATACTATTGGCCAAAACAAAAAACAAAAAACAAAACAAAACAAAAAGTTATAACTAAGAACCTCCTTGACTCTGTGTAGATAAACTAGGTAATCACACCCCTAGGTGTTTATAATCCACTTAAGAGACAAAAATGGCAAAGCCAGAGAGATCCTTAGAAGCTATCTGGAGTTCAACCATCTCATTTTACACAGTAGGAAGTGATGCCCTAGGGGGATAAAGTGACTTGCCCAAGGTCATACCAAAAGGTAGTAAAAAGACTTATATATTTAGTCCAGGAGTCTAGAGAATAGTGCTGAGATGAGTGAGTGAAATGTTCCAATATATTAGGACCATAGATGCTTAAAGGAAAATAAAGACCCCAAATATGAAAGGATGGAAAGAGAACACATTTCTGATACACAAAATGGAAAAGCTCAATGACTGATTAAACTTAGCTGTTTCTGAAACCACTGTTGAGTCCTCCATGGCAGCATCTCTCAACATTTCATCTAAGCAAGCTCCACATAAACACTCTGAGAGCTCCTGAAGCAAATGAAAACAAATGGAACAGACCAAATTCTCGGCATTCTGGCATCCCCTGCCCTCAGCTCTCTCACCCATAGAAAGATATAAATGAAGCTTAATCTACGATAGTTTAGCCTTCATGTGCATTTATTATCGTCACTACTTATTAAGAAGCTGTCTAGCATATGACATTATTAAAATAACTGGTGGGGGGAGGAAAGTGAGATTTTGATATCACATGTATACTCCTTGTCTCCAACATGGAGAATTTCGTAACATAAAAGGAGTTCAGGACAAACAAATCTTTATTACAAATTACATAATTTTTAAGGCATATGTGAACATTAATTAAAGTAGCAGATAGAAAGTTATGTACCCTGTAAGTTTAATGGAGAAAATAAATTTTGAAGTAGGCTTTAAAGAATGGGTCATGAAATCGAATCAGTGGGTCACGACCAGCATTTTTTCCAAGATGCAATAAAAGAGAAATACCAGGAAAACCGTACCTAAGAAGGTGAAGTACTGTTTTGTGAAACTTTTGTTTCAGTTATAACGGTGTTTCCTGAGTTGTAACACAAAATAGAATTTTTTTTAACTGTGAGTCACTTTCAGAAAAGTATGAAAAACAAGTTTAAAAGAAAGTATACGCATATATGCGCATGTGCATGATTTATATACATATATGACAGACACACTTTTAGCCCTATTAAAGAGTTCCCTGGCACACATAATTATGCGTAAAGCTTGGATTATACACAAAACTGATTGGAGCCCTCCTTAATCAGGAGTCCTGAAGGGAGCAACGGAAAGAAGTACAAGGACAAAAGGCAGCTAGGGTGGATGGATGAGTGAATTAATGGTAGAATCTGACTGTACAGGGACTTGTTTTGACACTGCTCTCTCCCAGAAACATCCTCAGCTTCCTCTCTTCTAGTGTATAGGTGCAAGGGGTCTAAATACAAAATGATGTAACTTCGTGGACCTACGAGTGTGTCTACAGAAAAGAAGGGGACGCAGCACACACGTGCCATCAGCCCCTGAACAGGGATAAGTTTGGCGCACATTTCAAGCCAGTGAAAAAGAAATAATTTCTGTATCTCCTTTCTTCCTTCCCCGGAGCCACTGTAAGAATGAGCCAAAGAAAATTTCAGGACAGTAAAGCCAGCTGTTTACCTAGAATGTGAGCGCCATTGAGATTATGGGAACGGTTATGGAAACATTTATTCAAATACTCGGGTCGGGATGCGCCGGAGAAAGTTCCCACACTATGCTTCCACCTCCTACCCCCTTACCATTTGCATGGCCTGCTCCATCCACTTTTCGGTCTCCTCGGCCGACACCGACCACGCGCCGCCGGTAGCCGGCGTGGACCCGCGCTTGGCCTCCATGCCGCACCCGGGCCGCCGCGCTCAGAGCCAGAGGCCGCGGCGCAGGAGCCCTGGCAGGCGGAACGCGGCGGGTGCGGGCCGCCGTTTCCGGGGGAAGCGAACGGTGAGCACTCGGGAGCGAATTCCGGACGGACCTCGGCGCCCAGGACCAGTGAGCGGCGGCGCGGCGGCGCGGCGGCGGCGACAGAAAGTGCAGCTGCTCAGCTGATAGTCCACTCCCCTTTCCCGCCCCGGTGACAATCTCTGCGGAATTGTGATTTCAGGAGAGCACCCAGCAGGACCATGGCGGTCTAGCGGGCTCGTCCGGGCCAAGAGTCAAAGAAACGGTTTCCTGTGAACCATCCCCCACCACCCCTAGGCAGCCTGCACCCCCAGGGCCCGAAAATGCTGAGATCTACGTGGAATTTTCTGAAACGTCACAAAAAGAAGTGCATCTTTCTGGGCACGGTCCTCGGAGGTGGGTGACAGAGTTCTTGGAAAGGGGAATAGGGACAAGAGGGTGGGAGAGAGGTAACTGTCCTCTAAAATAGAGGCCGGGGGACCGTGGTCCGGGATTCGTTCAACCGTGGGATGGGGAACGGCGTGACAGACCTCCAAGGTTCTTTCCGCCTCTGCAATTGTGAAATTTGTGCCCTTTGCCCTAACACTGCCCCTTTCTCTGTTTCTCGCCTTTTACTCACCGACCTACGGAGAACCCACCAGTTTTTTTGTTACTTGTTTTCTGTTTCAAGGCACTGTTCTCTTAGAGACACATGCTTTTTCATTCTGTTCTATTGTTTTCCCGTGAGATTTCTTCTTTTCTATTTGGCCCTCCCTGTACTTTGTTTGGCATTCAGCCCTCTCAGAAGTTTCGTAATATTCGAGGGGACTTAACTAAAGCTGGCACTTTCCGTGTTGTTTAAAGTTAATTTGAATTTTTGAAAACAGCACAATTGTACTGAAGGACTGGACGGTATATGTTGGACAGAGAAACACAAATCAGTATTTTTGCTCTGTTTCTGCTATTTTAGAATACAAACTGTGTAGTAAGTCAGCAGTAGGAACGTGCTTGTAGGATGTTGTACAATCTTCCTCAGGATCTTCAATATTGAGATCAGTTCCCACCTATCTGATGAAATTGAGTTACACATGGCCTGAGAAGAGATTGAGAAACAGATTAGATAACAATCTAGAGAAAGGGTTTCCTCATAAGACCATCATGTCATTATATGCAGGGATTTGAAGGAGAGAATAAAAAGTCTTGCTTTTGATACAAGAGAATGAAATGTAGGAATGTTAAGAGGGAATTTTTAGAATTTGAGTTTTTTGAGAAATATTATCACTGACTACATGCTTTGGTTACAGAAGTAATTAAAAACAAGAGCAGACATTTCCCAAAGAATTTTGTTGCTTTACTCTTAACTATTAAATTATATTCTGTTGCCCCCAAACAATTTGAAATTAACAATACTTTTAGCATCAATAATTCAGCTCTGTTGATTCTTGAAAATTTGAAACAAGCTTGTTGATGAGGCAAGGAGTTTTTCCCTTGTCTCTGACGTCTATAAGTAATAAGCATCTGTGAATGTTTATCACATCCTTTGAGAAATCCTTTATAGATAAAATGTATTTCCTAATATCTTCAGCCACTGATATCTAATGTATGTTTAAATTATGCTAAGACTGTTGAGTTCATTTATTTGTAGAAGCTAATGATTTATGTGTAATGGAAAAAGTATAAGTAAAATATTTTTGCCACTACTGAAAAAAAAAGAAAATAGTGTCTCTTTAACAATCTCAGAAAAAATAGCATACCCTTTCAGATTTATGGAGCAACCTACTGGTAGATTAGAAACAATCTTAGGGAAAACAAAACAGTATACTTAAGAGATAATTATAGATTTTTTTCAAAAATCTGTTGAGAGCTTTATAGTTACAGATTAAGAGGAAATGAGAAGGTGCAGGGGCAGGGAGGTTGAGAAGGACAGAAAGAGAAAATAATCCTGGTGTTTTATGACAAAAAGAGGATATCAGTCTAAAAAGGGAAAAAAGTAAATTACCATGACTGGCATTTATTAGAGCCTCACAGTCTTTCTCCTTCAAGGAAAAGGCCCTGTAACATGGCACGTTATCAGTTAATCTAAGGAATATTTACCCAGTGCCTGTAGTGTTGAAGGTAATATGATTGGAAATACACTATTTACAGACATTTTTAATAGTAATAGCTTCCATTTTGGGGGTAGACACTGTACTAAGCTCTTCTATTCAGTGGGGATGACGACAGGATAATTATTGTTCCCCAATTCAAAAATGTAGGAAACAGAGTCCTAAAAATTTTAAAAACTTGTCCAGGGTCTCAGAGTTAGTAATACAGAAGCTGAAACTCAAACCAGTGTTACATCCCAAAGCACATTCTCTTTCCACACTATGCCACTCTGTCTTCATGGACTTTATGGTCTGATAGGAATGAAAACAAGTGGCTTCGTTCATTCAGGCTCCTGTAACAAAAATACCACAGACTGGGTGGCTTATAAATAGCAGAAAATTATGTCTCACAGTTCTGGAGGCTGGACATCTAAGATCAGGGTGCCGTCATGGTTAAGTGAGGGTCCTCTTCTGGGTTGTAGACTTCTTGTTGTATCCTCACATGGCAGAAGGAGCTAGGGATTGTGTGAAGTCCCTTTAATAAAAGCACTAATCCCATTCATGAGGGCTCCACCCTCGTGCCCTAAACACCTCCCAAAGCCCCCACCCCCTAATACCATTGCGTCTGGCATTAAGATTTCAACATAGGAATTTAGGGGTGACACAAACATTCAGACCATAGCAACAAGTATACAAATAATTAAAATATAAAACAATAAGAGCTGGAAAAATGCTGTACATATCAAACTGGCAGGTAGCATGTGCAGTTGTAAAAAAATCAGGAAAGGGCTTCATGGAAGAAGTGGCACATATTGACATCTTGCAAACTAGGTATCAAAATGCATGCTCAAGAAGTTTGGCCATTCAGTGGGGAAAAAAACAAAGTAAAAACTTTGAGTTATAGGCCTTCTTAAGCAGGAATTTCTGCATTTTGGATGAGTAACTACTTTAGACCAATTTGTACAATTTGGTAAGTTTATGAAAAGACTAGAGCAGTGGTTCTCAAACTTTCTGACCTGAGATCTCCTTTACACTTTTAAAAATTAAGGACCCTAAAGAGCTTTATAAAATTTGTATTTAATAATAGTTTCTGTGTTAAAATTAAAACCAAAATATTTTTGAAATATTAGTTTAAAATACTAATAATAAACCCATTGCACATTAACATAAATACCATTTTCAAAAAAATTAGTGAGAAGAGTGGCATTGTTTTACATTTTTGCAAATCTTTTTACTGCCTGGCTTAATTGAAGAAAGCTGGATTGTCGTATCTCTTTCTACACTTAGTCACTGAGATACCTACTTGTCATATAGCCTTTAGAATACTCCACTGTACACTCATGAGAGAATGAGAATGAAAAAGGCACATATGCTCTAGTATCATTACAAAACAGTTTTGACTCACAGAACCCCTGAAAGGAACACGTCCAGGAGTGCCCAAGCCACTCTTTGAGAACAACTACACTAGAGAAAGTGCTGCAGAGCAGAGAACAGTCAGATTCATATGTATTCACTTGCTGATTTCTAAAAATCTTAGAGCATTGACATATAATTTATATTTTAATCCCTGTAATGTCTGTTCTCTTCAGTTTTTCATTTATTCATTCAACAAACATTTTAATGAGAGTGTCTACTTTCACTGTATTGGGCTCTGGTGATACAAAAGAATAAGATATAGTTCTTTACTTTAAGAAACTCATAATGCAGTCCTGAAAACAGAAATGGAAATAAACAAAAGTAGTACAGTGATAGTACTAGGGTACCATAATAGAGCAGGGCTCTGTGGGAGCAGAGAGGGAGAAGCATGGAGGCATCCAGCAAGCTTTACTCAAGAAACCACTTAAGTTACAGCTAACAAAGGAGAAGGGCACAGCAGGTAAAGGGGATGTTCAGCAGATTCAGAGACAATCAAAGTGTATTTCGCTGTGGCTAAGCACAGGGAACAAATGGGGAGTGGCAAAAATAAATTTGGAGAACTAGCTAGAGTACAGATTGGGAAGGGCCTTCCTTATTGCTCCGTTCTACAAAATTTGGACTCTATTCTGTATACCAGTGCTTCTCAGACTTAACATGGATAAAAGTCACTTGAGGGGCTTAATAAAAATATAGAATTCTTTTTCCCAGATTCTGATTCTTTATGCCTGGAGTACAGTTTATTATTAATTCTTTAATTCATTCAGCAAATATTTATTGTGCTCAGATTGTGTACTAATGTTATGTATTAGAGGTGGAGCATCATACAAGACATTTGGAGATGTTTTCAAGGAACTTCCTTAGAGGCTACATTTTAAACAAGTATCCCAAGTAATTCTGATGTCAGTGGAACAGGGAACCCACATTAAGAAATGATGCCAGGGTATTGAAGAATCCTAAATATGAGAGTAATATAATCAAATTTTAAGTTTTAGAAAATTACTTTGCATATGAAAAATAGATCGGAAAGGTGTGAAACTGGAAACGAAGAGAGTTAGGAAGCTGTTACATCAGTTCAAGAACATTAATAATCTGGGTCTGAATGAAGACAATGATAAAGGAGTGGACTAAAATGGCAAAATTTAGAAAACATTTCTGAAATAGAATTGGAAAAGCAGGATTCGGTGGCCTTTTGGATGAGAGTGAAGTTAATAGATTATTTTCAAACTTTTATTGAAATTTTATTAACCTAGTACATTGTGGGGATTTTCATCCATGAAGACACTGAGAGATGGTTTTAAAAAACCAAATTTATAATATGGAAAAACTAGAAGATATTTTGTTTTACCAGCAATGCTCTGAAAGGAAACCTCAAAACATTTTACATTTATTTTTTGAGGTATTTAGTGAATGTTTTCATTATCCATAAATAAAGTCATAGCTAAAGAAGAAACTTGAAAACTCATATAATTCCAGCCTTTCATTTTATGAATGAAGAAATTTAGACCCAGAGAGAGGAAGGAACTTGCTCTTTGAGTTACCTACCCAGTTGGTGCCACAGCCGTCAACATCTGCTGTCTTCCAGGCCAGAATTCAGGCCGCAGGTCAGGCATATTGACAATCCTGAGCTCTGTATATTAGGTAATGAATTCTCTGCCTTCATTCTTATTTTCCTAGGGAGACAAATCTGACAAAATCAGAGTTTATGAATTTTGGGAATGAGAGCTGGGGTAAATTAGTCCTTGTGTAGGAACTTACCTTCAGTGCTAGCTCAAGAAAAATCATGGGTTGTGGGATTTTAGCCTGTTTAACCATGCATTAGCTTGCTAGGGCTGCCATAGGAAAGAACCACAAACTGAGTGGCTTAAGCAACAGAAATGTATTGTCTCATAGTTCTGGAGGCCAGAAGTCCAAGATCAGTGTGTTGGCAGGGTTTGTTCCACCTAAGGGGTATAAGAGAAGGATCTGTTCCAGGCTCTTGTCCTTGGCTTATAGACAGCCATTTCCTCCCTGTGTCTTGATATCATCTTCCCTCTATATATGTCTGTGTCCAAATTACCCCTTCTTATGATGACACTAGTCATGTTGGATTAGGCCCACCTTAATGACCTCCTTTTAACTTGATTATCTCTGCAAAGATCCTTCTCTAACTGAGGTCACTTTCTGAAGTACTGGGGCTTCAACTTGTTGATATGGGGTAGAATATACCTCAACGCATAGTAATTTATTCTTTTAGCTTTGGTTAGAATATACTACATTTACCAAATAAACATGCTACAGTTGACCCTTGAACAACATGAGTTTGAACTCCACAGGACCACTTAAATAGTACATTTGACCCTTGAACAACACACAATTGAACTGTGCAGGGCCACTTGTACACGGGTTTTTTTCAATAAATACTACAGCCCTACAGATCCATAATTCATTGAATCCGAGGGTGCTGAACTGCAGATAGGGCCCACTGTAAAGTTACATGCAGATTTTCCACCCAGGGAGGGAGTGTTCTGTACCCCTAACACTGGTGTTGTGTGAAGGTCAACCACAGTTCCTAAAATATTTTTGTCAGACACTGTTGAAAATCTAATGAAAATAGTGAACCTTCTCCCCAGGAAAACATATAAACCAGTCAAATTTACTTTTATTACATAAAATTCTTAGCTATACAAGGGCATCATTGCAGCATTTCATTTTACACTATTATTATTTGAGAAATAATAACCATTTTATACATAACTTTTAGCCATTTGTTGTGCAAAAAAGCAGATAAAAACAATTCATTGAGAAATACTTGTTATTGTAAGAGTCACCTGTCAATGAGTTACTTTGTGAAATTTAAGTCGATTTCTTCGTTCTGTTAGTATTATTGTACTGTCATCAGTTTATTGAGGATGGATTACAGGAAAGGTAGCCCTGAGGCCATTTATATGAATTTTTATTGTTCTTTAAGCATGATTATAATACATTTATTTGCATACAGACATAATAGCATGCTTACTTTATTTCTGTCTAATTATTTGTAGCACCTACCCTTTCACTGATCTGTAATTTTTAAGACTATATAACATGTTATCAGTTCATCTATATTGCTTACATTAGTGAAAATAATTCAGGATGTGTGTTTACCTTGTGGTTCCTGGAGGGCTACCTTTTTCCCCACCTGTGACAGTGAAGGAAACTTAGCATAGAAACTGTGGGTGTGCCTGCACGCGGGACATTTCACAGAAGTGGCCGGACTTGTCTGCAAACAGAAATTCCTGCCAAGTGACTGTGCCCATTCCCAGGGGAAACATTGCTTGCAAACAAGAATGTTTATTAGTTCCTCAAAAGGAACAGTCCTGGGAACAGGAGGGTCTGAATGTAATTAAGACAAGGAAGCCTTAGATGTAGTGCGCATGCGTCAATTTAAAAAATGTTTACTCACTGTGCTTGGCTAGAGTTACTCCTTTGTGTAGATGGAATAAAAAATAAAGGACCCCGACCCTCGGGGGACATTTTGGCAACGCAGCAAGTGTGTTTCATTTCGTCGGCAACAGACAGATAGACTAAATTGAATTATTTAGGTCATGTACAGTTCTTATGATGTTCTTTTTGTTAGATATTGGAGGCTACAGACAGTTGGAGGTAGGTGAGGATTAGTTACTTCCCTGCAACCTTGTTGCCAGGTTACAATGAAACAAATTCTGGCACACATTAAAACATCTTTTAGCAAACCTAGGTAAAAGGGTATCGTAACTTGTTCCATCAGCTCATTGAAGTCCCAGTATCCTTACTTGGTGCTGCAGCAGAACCATGCATAAAAGATTTACCTGAAGCAAATGCAACAGTACTTTAGCTGTAGAATGCTGCTAGCCTTTTGGTTAAGTCTCTTGACTGAGAATCCTTCAAACTAGCAGCTAAATGAATGATCTAAGCCATTCCTAAGGGTGGAAGACTTGCTAGATTCGTATAATCTTGTTCAAAAATATTACTAAAATGTTTTAGCTAACCCAGTATCTTAAACACCATTTGTTTAATCTGTGAAAATCCATTTTGATATTCATTGTGCTAGGTAAAATTTACTTGAAGTGCTTAAACCTCGGAGTGTGGCTTTTGACCAAATGCTAACCAACCACACTGGAGTATTCACATTCCCAGTTAGGACAACTGACTGCCCGAAGGGTATGACCAAAATGCACACATTTATATTATACTGTCTGTACTGAAATGTGTTAAATTACAGGCCACATGACCCCACCTATATTTTTATACTATAGTGTTATAATTTAGGAATTTCTGTACTCTGTTTTCCCTCCCTTTTTCACTTAAGTTTCTAGTTTTAGATGTCTGTCTGACTACCTACCTTTCTTTTATTCTTCCTTTCAAAATTTTTCTTGTATTTTTAAGAAGTGTTATATTTTGATTGAAGAAAATATGTAAACCATAGAGAAGCAAGCAAAAGAAGAAAATCATCTGCTGTCCCACTGTTAAGCAGTGATCATTGTTTAATGTATGTTAGAAATTAAAACCCGTCTGTTGTTATGTATATCTACTTACATTAAAAAGTAAAACTTACAGAATCTTACTTTATCATCTAACAATACAATATGGATATTTGCTTGAGCTATTAACTGTTTAGCAATGTGGTTTTTAATAGCTGTGTAAGATTCCATTGTATGGCTATGCGATAATGTATTTAAATAATTCCCTATTGCTAAACATTTAGAATATCTCCAGTTCACTATCAACAGCGCTGCCTGACTTTGTAGGCTTAATTCCTTTCTGTTTGTTCAGACCTAATCTTTATGTCCCCATCTGTCATTGGCTTTTAAAATGTCAGCCTCCTTTTCCTTACTTTTAGATCACAAGTCTTATACAATCCTTAAATTTAGGTTTTTAGAAGTTGTAATTGTTAGCCTTTCAAAAATATAAAGCCTTATATTTGGATAAATTGGGTTAATATAATGTTTGGTATTTTTAATATTCTAATTAACCGGATTAATACACTAGCTCGTTTTATAAAAACAATTTTAGGAATATATATCTTGGGGAAATATGGGCAGAAGAAAATCAGAGAAATACAAGAAAGGGAGGCTGCAGAATACATTGCCCAAGCACGACGACAGTACCATTTTGAAAGTAACCAGAGAACTTGCAATATGACAGGTAAGGCAAAGGGAGATGCTTATATGTGTCTAAGGTTGATTGATGGTTTATATTGATTTGCATCCCTTTAGGACCAAAGTTAGAGGAAAAGGCAAAAAAAAAAGAAGATAACTCTAGCAAGTATTCATGTGATTTAACTGAAATACATCATTTAATGTGGATTTTAAAAATCAGTATAAATTAATATGTACTATAAATGCTTGTTCATTTACTTTATTCATTCGTTCAACAAATACTCAGAGCACTCAGCACTAGGGAAACAGAAGGTGAGCAATGTGAGAAAAACAAAAACAAAAAACCTGCCCTTCAGAGTTTATATGCCAGTGAGAGGAAAAGATGATAAACAACGAATAAATACCTTTAGGCAGTGATGACTGCTTAAAAGGAAAATGTGCTCTGTGAGGGGTGGGGATGCTCTTTAAGGCAGGGCAGCCAGGAGAGTCAGGCCTCTTTAAGGAGGTGATGTTTGAGGAGAAATCAGATGGTACAATGGAGAGAGTCATGCAAAATGCCTGAGGTGGGAACAAGCATGGCGTATTCGAGAAACAGCAGAGAGGCTATGTAGCTAGAGTAGCATGGGCAATGGAAGATAAGGCTGCAGGGGTGGGCCTGAGGCCCCTGGGCCTTGTGTGTCATAGGAAAGAGTCACAGGTTTCTTACATTTACAGTAGGCACCTACAGACCTGTAAGTCTAGCACTGCAGTGTATACTCAATCAGCGTTAAATCAATGGTAATAATTAATCTCCAGAGCTGGAAACCTCCTGGGAGGCTACTGTAACAAAATAAGCTGCCCGTATTTGAAGAAAACAAGGTGTTATGTTATAACCAGAATAACTCCTTGAAGAATTAATCTTTAAATCCATGTCAAACCTGTTTTTCTTTTGGATTGTTTAAGCTTAATCCTTTCTCTATCAGTTCTTTTAAGAACAATTAATTTAGAAAAAATTTATAAAGGTAAGTAGGTTCTCTTTGTTCAGTTCTAAAAAATGGAGTTTTTTCCAGAGCTGAAAGAACTTATTTTTAGTTCAGTCTCATTTGACAGATAAAGAGGCTGGCATTAAGATAGTTAAGAGTCACATCCAGCTGGAGTATGATTTCTAATGTTTGAAATAATAATTACTTCATTCTATAAAGCAAATAGTAACCACAAATGCTGTCGATGATGGCAGCTCGGGTCAGGTACAGCGAGTGAGAGCGCGGGCTCAGGAGTGAGCGGCTCTGGTTCAGGCCCCAGTTTGCCTTGTGCTGTCTGTGTGTCTCTGGGCAAATATAAATCTAGTTCTCTCCCGTAAAATGATTTTCATAAAACCCACTTCATAAATGTTTTGTGAGAATGTGATTGGTATATAATAAACACTTAGTAAATGATAGCTTTTTAAAAATTATGCCATTTTTCAAATCGATATTTAGCATTCAGTGTACTGGTGCTACCAAGGACACTAGTGAATTTTTAGAGAATAAGAGCAGTCCAGTTTTGGTTATTGCTCAAATTTTCAGAAAATGGAAAAAGCTGACTTCTGGGAATATATCTCATTTTGACATGAGCCTTGTGTCAGTTTAGGTGCTCTGGGAAGCAGATGCTAAGATGGGATCAGATGTGCAGGAGACTCCTTTAGAGGAAACACCCATGAAGAACAAAGGAGAGGGAGCAGAAGCAAGGAAAGCCTTTAGACCACAGTGCGGGTCTGACGCTTGTAAATAGAATGGGCAAAGGAAAGAGGGTTAGGTAAGAAGAGTTGTCGACTACAGCACAGTTCTAAGAAACTTTTGGTAGACCAGTAGGGAGTCCTGAAGCCTAAGTTGCCTGGTGGAGGAGTCCCACAGGAATGGGCCTGCTTTAGTATCCCCACCAAGCTAGAAGCAGTGCAGATTCAGAGGGGTGGCAGCTGGGCCTGTCAGTTAATTATGCTCCGCCCAGCAGAAGTTGTGGGCGGCATGTTTCCATGACCATCACAACCCTCAAATGAATAAATAGCTGATACAGGCAATAAAATTAAAATATAGTGCTCACTAAGAGCCCAAATATACGTTCACTGCAAAAATTTCTAAGTTAGCTTAGTGTATGTATGGATAATGGGGCTACAAATCATATGGTTAAATTTCTGTTCTTTTGAATAAGATGTAATAGATGTACTAGAAAAATTTAGTACTTTTAGGTAAATATAATTGGTCTTTTCACCCAAGAAGTTGGTCCCAACTTGAAAAAGAGCATCTAATGTAATGTTTCTGTGCTCTACCCATTGGCTTTATTATCTTCATGATTTTACTAAAGATTTGGGAGGAGTGCTTATTAAATTTAGACATGACATAATGCTTGAAGGCATAAGTGACACCACAAATGAAGTTTCGGATGCAAAATACTCTTGTCCCATTTAACTGCTAGACTAGGATAAAAGAATTGTTCTGCATTAAAAGTCAGTTGTACTGATACAACTTGCTTATTAGAAACAGGATGTATGAGTAAGGATTGAGAATTCTAGTTCAGCCTAAAGTTGTTTTGAGCAGACAATATGATGTGACTTCTAGAAATGCTAATTTAATCTCAGACTGCAGTAATAGAGTCCTTAGTTCAGATCAGAGGCAGTTACAGGACCATCTGTCACCATCATCGACAGCATTTGTGGTTACTATTTGCTTTATAGAATGAAGTAATAATTATTTCAAACATTAGAAATCATACTCCAGCTGTACACAGAGCACAGGTCCCGTTCTGCCTCTCACAGAAGATACACACTGGAAAGTGTCAGAAGAAGCTAAATAAGGGTAATAATAAGAGCTGATACTGAGCATTTCCATGTATATGAAGCACTGTTCTAAATGCTTTTTATGTCTCAGTTGATCTTCCAACAGTCCTATAAGTTAGATCCACTGTTATCCTTAGTTTACAGTTAAGGAAACTGAAGCACAGATAAGTTATAATCTGCTCAGAGTCACACAGATTCAAGGCTGGTGAAAGGTTGTCCTGTGATTTGTGGTTGGACTGGGGATGTTTATTGTGGAGACCAGATGGCTAAAGTAAGACATAAATGCTATATTCAGTTCCATACAGAAATATACTTGTTCAGTGTTAGTACAGATGGCGAGAAGAGAGGCGGCTTGCCTTTGGTTGAATATGCTGAAGTGGAAAGTAAGAAGCTCTTTGTCAGGAGAATTATTGAAGAGACATCTCTTAAATCATTTTGTTATAGCACCTAATCTTCAAAGTTCCCTAAATACTCCGTTTTCTGAATATAGGACTCTAGCTTTGCATTTTCTTAGTAAGGTAACATAACATGTTTGGGCTAGGCTGTATAGCATAGACACTAAGAGAGAAGCCACTTTTCATACTGACCAAGAGCTGCTACTTTAGTTAGTGGCCTAAATAAATTAGGTGATTTAATCCTACAGTTTAAGGAAACAGTCTGAAGCTGCATAATACAGCATTAAAATAAATGTTTAAAGAAAGTTAAAACCTGAATTTTCTATAGAAAAAAATAGAATGGACTTTGTGATTAATGTCTTGCCTAGTCAAGAAGTAAAAATCATAACACTAAACTTTTCCCTTTTAGAATATAGCATTTGTAACCTCTTAATATTTTTTCATTTTGTTATCATTACTTAGAAACTCATTTTAAATTTATATTTGTACATTTCTCTATTTCTTATACCATACATGGAGCCATAAGTAAAGTAACTCCCATAAATCACATGCAATCTTTTTCCATAGAGTACTATATCTTATTTTATCTTCATGTTATTATTGGGAGTTACAGGCAATAGCCATTGGCAAGACCAAATAGCTCTTAATTCCTAGCCTGGTACTCTTGTCTGGGTTATAATAAGTGTTTATTGCTTTGTAGTATTTAATAAACAAACTTTATTCTAAAATAAAAAATAAATTATGAAGCAAAAAGTATAGCTAAAGATAAAAATGTTTTTGATCATTTTATTATGTCAGAAATAAAGATTTATTATAAGAAAAATCTGGAGAGTACAGCGGGGAAAAAGAAAGAATTACCCATAATCCATAGCCCAAAGGCCACCACTGTTAACACCTGGAAATAATTCTTTGCATTGTTTCTTCTATATGTACTTATTTGCATCACTGTGATCATAATATGTGCATGTATAATTTTGTTCACTTCACATAAGCAGATAAATGATTTATTAGTATATAATTAGTTTTTATTATTAGTGTGATAATTTGAAAATTCTAGCCCCGACCTTCCCTCCCAACCTTTGCTACTTGCCAGTCCTGTCGTGTAGCCTAAAACAATGTGCATTTATCAAGGCAGTCATGTCACCTGTGACCTTTTTAATATTCTGTATTACAGTGCTGTCCATGCTTCCCACACTGAGAGAGGCCTTAATGCAGCAACTCAATTCTGAGAGCCTTACAGCTCTGCTAAAAAGCAGGTAAGTGCAAGTTACAGCATTTCTCATTTATACGCTACACTTAAAGTTTATAGAATGTAACTAAAATACTTTTCAAAAGTCTTTGTTTCCTTATTTTTCTTTCTAACTAAAGCTTGTGATAATATATAGGCTCACTTAGAAAAAAATATTTGCAAACAATACCATTGAATTCATATTTTGTACATTTGTTCAAGCTCTACCTTGATGCACAAAGTATTTAGATCAACAATATTTGTATGTATTCTGGTTTGCATATAAATAGATCTTATGTCACTTTGACATTTTTCAGAAATTTTAACTATTGAGTGTTTATGGAATGTGTTTCTGAACCAGTTGTTATGAAACTAATAGTTACATTAAATACTGTGCTTCTTAAAGAGTTTGCAATATAATAGATAAAGCGTATGAACATACATTTTAAATAAATAAAGCATATGAACTTAGATTTTATATCATTAACATAATGAAGTACAGATACAATATGAACATACGATAATTGTAATTTATCTTACCAAGATAGTGCACTGTGTATAAAGCACTTTCACAGGTACAATCTTGTATATGGATTGTAGTATGTGTTAGAGTATTGTGATTTAGTGCGATACTGTGTTGGTTTGAGAAACCTTCCAGGAGGAAATAAATGGCTTCTTCTCATGAACAAGAATGATGGGGAAAGGGGATATCACTAAATAGAATTTAATCATTGTGGCCTTACTGAAAAATATCCACTTTCCTTGCAACTGTCCTCCAATAGCCAGGGGAAAGAAGGTGCTATTTCTGGAGTGTCTCTGTGCCAGGCCCAGTGCTCGGTACCTTACATGCTGCTCCTCTTTGACTTTCACAATACCCTTGTGAGGCAGACACTATCATCTCCTTTGTACAAATAGGAATTCAGTGTTCAGGCAGGTTAAATAACAAGCTGGAAAATTTCTTTGAAAACATTTTCTGTGTTCAGATAATACCTACCAAAGTAACAATAGATTCACAAATGGATTGGGGGTGCAGTTGTAATTTTTTTCCTGGAAAACAAATACACAACTTGAAATGGATTTGAGGCAGATTGTGCCATAAGCAGATTTTCTGAAAATTTTCAATTAGCAATAATCGCGCCTCGGATAAACCTCATTGGCTACAATACTGCCACTGCGCAAAGCTTGAAAATTTTCAGTTTCTTTACCAGTGAGATTTCTCATTTTGTAATTTTCTTGTTTCTGGTTGTGGCCTCTAGTTTGTGGTCAAAGATGAGCAGTTTGAATGTCAATAAGGGTAATAAACTGCAGTGGGTTGAAACACATTGAACATATATTTAAATGCATTTGTTTGTAATGATAGTTTTTAACAAAAAAATGCTTCATTTTTTACCTTTGAAGAATTATAGAACCTATTTCATTATTTGTAAAATTGTAAATAAGGGAAGGAAATACTTTCCCTGATTTTTCTGTATGATTTTATAATCTGTATTTGCATGCTTAGAAGAAGGAGAAAGAACTGGAAGGATATATACACCAATATACTGGTGGAAATGGTTGTTATCATCCATTACTGAAACTACAGTCTTTTTTTACTATATTTTATGGGCTTTGTTTTTTGCAGTTACTCTAAAATAAAACATAAGTAAGCATAGAGCTATAAAGTTTAGAGTTTTCTATTAGATTATCTAGATTATTATTTTCATATTCTCTGATATTTTTCTCTAGGCCTTCAAACAAGCTAGAAATATGGGAAGATCTGAAGATAATAAGTAAGCCCACATGTTCTGTGTGACAGCATAGCCTTAAAATATTGTTAATGGGAAATTTTTGTACTCTATTATGTAGATGACTCTTCTTTACTGACCTCATAGAGTTGTTGTCAGGATTAAATAATTCTCATGAC